ACTAATAGAAGCAGGGGAGGGAGAAATAGGATGTCATTATGTTACAGAAGGAAACAAGAGGGTTTCAGCATGGGGATTGTAGCATTAGCAGACCTGTTACAGCACACACCCGATAACACACGACTACAGGGAAGGAAAACCCAAAAAGCAGAATATGCCCTTTAACCTGTGCCACGACCTGAACAGTGGGACACTGGTTGTCTGTTAGGAAACATGCGTCACAAAATTACATTTAAAATGGCGACGATTGACCAACTTCACGTTTGATATTATAAGTAAAAAGAATTCCTTAGGATCATATATCCAGGTCACGTCTCAGATGCTGTAGGATTTGTTGATTGACGCAATGTATCGAATCCCCCCCCCTGGCAGCTCTGAGAGAGACCACTCGTAACGGAGCAGAGGGAGACGAGACACCGGGCTCGCCAGCGCGGACTTCAGAGAAAGCCCCCTCGAAGCCCCCGGAGAAGCGACGGGCCCGCCTAGAGGCTCGGGGGGCCGCGCGGATTCGGAGATAAAAGAGGAGTGGGGGATTATGTCTCTCAGAAGAACGAATCAAAGAGGCAGTAGGAAGTGCGTGGCTACGACACCCAGACGAGGAAATGGCAGAGCGTTTTCCCGCGTGCCTCTTAGAAGGTTAGGAGGTGGGATTGGGGGGCACGGGGGCAAAGGATTGGGCAGACGTACACAGTTTAGGAAGGTGAGGAGGGGGTAGAGGAGGGAGGCTACTGAATCATGTTTGGACGGTTGCGGAATATTTATTAAGAGTCCTGGGATGGAGTGTGGGAGGTACATGTTTCCGAGGGCTGAGGCCAGGACGAGGAGAGAGGAAGTTACTGAAATTGAAAATCTGTGTTTGAAAACACCTTTTATAGGTGTTCTGTTGGATGTGTGGTATTGAGTTGAGCTCTCGCTGGCTCCTGGGGCCTGCCGTGGTGGGTTTGGTGGAGAGAGAGAAACTATACAAACACAAGAAAACGACTTGTAGGGTGTTGGTCAGAAAACAGAGTTGTTCGAATGTCGAGGTAAGCTGCCGTCTCTCGATGTCACGCCTCGCAGCTCGAAAACATGGACGCCAACATTCCATCAGGGAGCTTAATGAAAAGATCAGCACAAGTGCAAACATGGTCAGGAGCCCTCCGCGGGCCTCTAACATGGCACTGGCGAGGGGTAAAAGTGTGTACGTGCTGCGCCCAATCATTGCCACGTGCGCCGCCGCGAATCGCACCTCCCGCGAGACACAGAGGGAGAGAGGGAAGAACAGAACGCGGCCAGTGCCCCCGCGGGCCGCTGGGGTGGTGAGGCAGAGCTGGTATGTCTTGGATCAGTGGCGGCAGAGGTGATGTCGCGCACCGTGATATGTCCTCGTCGCGCGTCCAGTGTATCTGGCACGAATCCCGACGGGCCCCGGCCTCTAGAGGGCCGTCGCATACATCCGGGGCTGTCGGAAGGGGGAGCGCTGAGGGCGTCCGGCGGAGAGCCCGGGGGTGTGCTTCCGGTGCTGCGTCCGGTTGAGCGAGGGTGCAGCTTCTCCAGAGGCGGCAGGGGGGGGGGGATGTCAGATGGTCAGGAGTCAAATCAACAAATCGAGCAGCTGANTCAGTAGGCTATACATCGCTGTTTTTTTATTTATAACTCATGTATATTCCGGTTGCCCAAAGTCAAAAAAAATGTTTCAGAAACACTTTTTGTTATATTCCATGGAATGCTCTTAACATCCTGATAGCAATGAATATATTAAATGCATTGACAATAAATAGATACAAAAATGTCATCTGTGGAAGCCGTAGTACTGTAAAAAGCACGACCAATCATCTGAGCCGGCCCGGCTAAAGTAACTGGATGGCCTACCTGCCTGTCAGCCTTCCATCTGTGCACAAACTTATCTCGTGCCCTCATTGGTCATGTGCACGTTCGTGTGTGTTGGAGGAGGGGCTCTTTAAGGAAGTAGCAGATTTTTTCCGGCTGTGTATTTTCAAATTCTAGCGCACTCAAGCTGGTTTCTCCAAAATTACCTACCCCACCTTTAAGCGTGTACATATATGTCTATTTGGAGTGCATAACTAAGTGTGTACTAGGCGTATATAAGCACGGAATGTCATTGCTAGAATATGGAATCTTGATTTGTTGAGAAACAAGATGATTGTACTACATTATATTTTAAAATTCTTCTTGAAATTGTTTTGTGTGTGTGTGTTTGAGTAAGTATATCTGGATGCAGCTCAGGGCAACGGCCTGGTTGCTGCTGCTGATGTATCTGCTGTTTTCTAAACCACTGACAGGAGAAAACAAATTCATGTGAACATTAAGATACAGTGCTAGACTCTCTCTTTCTCTCTCCCACACAAACACACACACAAGCGCACATACTCACACACGGACACACATACACACGTTATTTATGTTCACATAAAAAAGAGGATGAACACTGAGAAATGCTACAATGTTTGGACACGTGACTCCTGCTTACAGGAACACCTAATATGCAGGTACAACTATTGATTGATTGATACATTTTATTTCGAACAAGTAAAATAAATAATCACAAAAAAAAAAAAAATGTTGCAGTGCATAGTCATGTAAGAGAAATAAAAACAAAAAATGACATGTACAACAACAACAACAAAAACAACAACAGCATTAGCAACATAAACAGTCCCACATCTAGTGTTCGAAAAGGTGTGAGAAGAAGTATAATTTATTTAATCTCACCCCCTTGTCCCTAAATGATTTATTTATAATCTATAATCTGCAATAATTATCATTATTACGTATAGGGTAATTTGTGGAGCAAAAATTAACAGTGCCGGAGTTTTTGTGAAAAAAGCGGAAACCCATGGTCTCCGGACATAAGTGGAAAAAGTCCAACGTGTGAAATACACCGAAACAAATGTAGGACCTGATTCACAAACTCCCCCTCAAGATCCTGCCTACCACAATTTCTCAATTTCGCCAAGGAGAGATTTATGAACAGCATTATTTTTCCATACTGAAAATAAGTCCCATAACTGCGCGACGCGACCAGGTCATACGAAGCGGTACAAAACACTACCAGCTGTACGATGGCTATAATGGTGGGGAAAGTAGCACTTGCGCGTGGGATTGATCTGATCCCGTGCCGACGAACTCGCTTAGGTGAACTGATTGGCACAGCATCATGGCAATCGCTCTCGCGCATACAAACCTAATCGTTGGGCCGTATTGAGTTCTGTATAGGATCCAGATCCAACGTTGGCTGGAAGCACCGATGTCGGGTCCCCGGAGTCCATTTCGTTCTGAAGTGTGATATATATTATTGAACNCACCGACGGCAGTAAACAATAACTGTAACAAAATCATCATGCAATATCGTTGACGAAAAGTGACGAGACGAAAATGTAGTTTATTAAATAAAAACTTTGCCAAAATCTCTCTTTACTTTCGTTGACGAAAAATGAGGAGACGAAATATTATCAAAGATAACGTTACATCTCACCAGTTCCATTTCTGGTGCTGCGGCTGGGCAGCAGCTGTGTGTCTGTGCTGCACGCGGCGGTACATTTGAATTACACCGTGCAGCGGCATACTGAACTGTCAGAAAGACTCGGGTCTAACTAACCTTATTTAAAATAAAATAAAATGGCAACAACAGGGCTTGGGAGCAGTGGTCGCACTCGCGTTAACCAAATACCCCCGTCAGCGCGAATGAGTGATAAATGATAAACTCGACGGGTAATAATGGATTATGACGGAAATGTTACGATCCTGTCCATCAAAATGACTAACAACGAAAAAAATCTAAAGCCACCACTGCTTGGGAGAAAGAAACAATGCGATGTTTGGGCCCATTTTCGCTACAATGAGGCGGAGAAAAAAAGCGAATGCATTGTTTTATCAGAAGGGAAGCAATGTGGCCATAACACAGCTGGTAAAAAACACCACAAACTTGACCAGATGCTCTCTGCAAAGCTGCATTCTTAATCATTCAACTTGTGTTTTTCAACAAATACGGACAAGATATAATCTTATTGTGAAATAAGTATGACTAAAATAACAAATTATTGGTTTTGGCTATATAATCTGATGAAAAAGACTCAACAGTTTTCATTGACAAAAAGTAGACTAAAATAATTAGTTTTCTTTGACTAAAATAAGACTTTTAGTCGACTAAAACTTGTCTAAATAAAAACAGGATGAAGGTAACTAAATATGACTAAAACTAAAAAGGAAATTTAACACAGGACTAAGACTAAATAAAAAGATAGCTGACGAAATTAACACTAGGTTCAACATATGTTTGAGTTAGCCGGTTGGCCTAATCCAAAACATACGCGCTCTCACTAAGCGGTCCTACGACGCTCGTTATCAAGTGGATCGCTCAAGCCAGCCGTGTCCTATCTAGTTAGGTGCGTTCACATGAAAGGGGTGGTATCTGGAGCATTCGACCAATCACAAACATGGAGAAGCGTACTGACAG